ATTTCTGTTTTTCTCTCTTTGTAACCATTTCAAATTTTTATTTAAATTAATTGTGTGTTGTGGATTCATTGCAGGGATGTGCATCTTGGGATTGGTACTTTCCGTACCATTATGCACCCTTTGCATCTGATTTTGTGAATGTTGCTGAAGTACCTCAGAAATTTGATAAGAACACACAGCCATTCAAACCATTAGAGCAGCTTATGGGTGTATTTCCTGCAGCCAGTAGAAGCCACGTACCTGAACCATGGGGCCGCTTGATGATAGATCCTGATTCTCCCATTATTGATTTCTATCCCGATGATTTCAAAATTGATTTAAATGGGAAAAAGTTTGCTTGGCAGGTAACCAACTCCCTCCATGACTAACTCATTCTTTGTCTGCTTGAATATTTGTTGTTATGTAATGTATTTTATATTTTAGGGTGTGGCACTGCTTCCATTTGTGGATGAAAAAAGATTATGGAAAGCATTGGAAGAATACTATCCTCTGCTCACCCCGGCTGAACTCAAGCGAAATGTGAGGGGTGATGATAGACTCTATTTACCTAAAGGAAATTCTTCCTTCAAACATCTGACTGGCTTGTATAACAATTCAATTGATCCTGAAGTTGAAACAGATGTGGAAATTGAAGGCATGCAGGGTAGAGTGCTTTTGGCAGAAGAAAACGTCAGACAGGTATACAATCTGTTTTTATTATTTTTAGAAGGGCTTTGGTCATGCCAAAAGTAAATAACCGATGGTTTGCAATTGCTTTCTCTTTTTATTTGATTCAGGGTGGGTCTTTGGAGTCACCCGTGATGGGTCTTCCTGTGCTCCGTGACAATTCTGTTGTGCATGTTCGTTTTCGAGATCCGAAGTATGGTGAAGATTATGTGTTCCCTGCGACACGTCTGCGTGGAGCTGTGGAACCCCCTCGCGTTTTGAAACCTGGTGACGAACATCAAGGACATCGCAGTTGGAAACCTCAAATAGGAATGGCACCTGCAAGGCATCAAGCATCATTAATGGATGCTGGTCATAGAATGCTTGGTCATCATGTACCAAGGGGAGGAAGAGGAGGAGGGGGAGGAGGAGGTGGTGGTGGTGGACATTACAGTTCAGTTCCACCCCCAATGTCTGGTATGTGTATGTTTATTTCGTGTGAACCTATAAGTACGTTCAATTTATTTCATTATCTCATCAGAAAATTCACCTCTTATTTCAGGTGGGGGAGGCAGAGGAGGAGGAAGGGGTGGCTATGGCAACCAAGGAGGCTATGGATCCCGTGGAGGTCACGGAAACCAAGGAGGCTATGGATCTCGTGGTGGGTACGGAGGTGGAAATCGAGGTCACTCAAGATCACACAATGATGGTAACAATCAGCAGGGATATAACGGTGCTGGCCAGGGCTATTCCTCCCAGTCATCCCATAGGGGTGGTCAAAGTTACAATTACCAAGGGGGTGCACAGTCATCTTACCCAAGCTATTCCAGTAATAGCAGAGGTGGTTATCAATCAGGCAACTCTGGTGGTGGCTACAAGCCTGCAGGGGGATACCAGTCTTCAGGTTATGAATCATCTAACCAAGGTGGTTACCAATCCTCAAATAAAGGTGGTTACCAATCATCCAATGCTGGCGGCTATCAGTCATCAAACAATTACCAGGCCTCATCCAGTAGGGGCTCTTTCAGGGGAAATAGAGGTAACAACCAAAGTTACAACTCAAGGCGTTAGGAAATATCCTCAAAGTCAGACTTTTCAGACTTGTCTCTAACTTTATCAAATTGAGTTTTTTATTATATAAATTTAGATTTATTTAAAACATATATGTTAAAATTCTTTGTACTGCTTTCAATGTTACATGACTTTGTATGTATGTTTTGACTGCTTGCATTTGACCTTCAAAGTGCAAATGGCAGATGATTATTGTGAAATTGTTCAGTATACATCATTCTAAACTGAAGTCATTGAGACTCCTGTATATATTTTGTAATGTAACTTATATATCATGTACCTGGTCTCAACATCAATCTGATGTTATTTGTCAATTTAGTCTTGTTGAACCTGATTGGCCTGTGATGTTTATAACTTTTTCAATGATAACTATCTATCATTCCAAATGCACCCCCAGGTAGCAAGGCCTGCATTTCTTGGGCATTTTAAGCGCATTTTAGGCGCATCAATGCGCCTTCAAAGCACGGCTCTGCTACCTGGGCCAATCACAGTTTGAAATCTTGTGTTAAATTTTAATCGATACCAAGGTTTCTAACTGAGAGAGCAATCATGTAAAAGAAAGCACTTGCATATTATCAAATATGCATACCATAGTTAGTGTTAATTTAATAGCATGTCCCATTTAACTATGAATTGTTATGAGACATTTTCGCTAAGATAGTGTAATTGACTTTTTATTCAGTGTTTTCCTAACAAGCCCAATTTACGGTTTCTATGAAAATGAATATTTTCTCATGACGTAGTATTCATCTTTTTTTAAAAAAAAAAGCTTGCTGAACTTTTGGAGACAGTGAAGCTACTGACATTCAAAATGCATGATCTATTATAGTGTTTTTTTTCTGGTTTGCCTAAGATATCCTGTATACAGACTGCAATTTCTTTCAATCTTTCTTATTGGCTTTTTCTTGGTATCAACCTTTTGAGTTCTATTCTTCAAGGAATGTGTTTGCTATGAAATACCTCTTTTCTTTTTTAACCATTGTAACGATCTATAGGTTTAGAGATTCCTTTTTTTTAGATACATTTGTTTGTAAGATCATGCAATGAAAAAAAATTATAAAGAGGAATAGATACAGACTGGACCAAATAGCTTGCTCCTTTCACATGCACCTATAACCATGTAGTCTGCACCAATGCTGAATAAAATGCATAACAAAAGCTGAAGATTGCTACAAATTTCTTGAGCTATGTGGAATGGGGGATGCAGGAACAATGAATGTGTAAGTTTTGAAATTTGCATTCATCATAATCATATGCAGCATTTTTAGACTTCAAGTCTAAGTTGTAGAAATGCAAAGGAAGACTGAGCTAACAATCCAGAACTATAATGTAGAACGTGACATTTGGTGAAAGGAATACCGTGCCACAGACCTTTTGGTCATTTTGTTTTAACAAATCAATTTTGGGTGAGGAAAAAGATGGAAAGGGGGATAACAATGTCATTTAAATCACTCTTCAGCTAGAGTGCATCTTTATTAACAGTCTTCAGCTCCTCCAAACACATCACAGGAGATTACAAATGATTAATAAATTGTAACAAAAAATATGTGGGTGGGTTGAAAATGATAACCTCAGGACCATCCAGATTGTCACCCTGGTTTCAGTAGTGACGTGTTTGCACACAAGGAGTCATGCTACTTATGTTGGTAATATCTTCCTTTCATGCATTTAAAATACAAGTAAAAAATATATTTTTAATGATCAAATTTTTTAAAAAGCAAGGGATGACCCTGTCTCTCTCACTCGCCCACAGCCAAGTGCTAATGCTCCATAACTTAAACTACTCAGAACACCTCACTCACATAATAATAAATAGCGAGGAAGCCTTAAAAACCACAGCCTGTGATTATAGTTTCTACTCAATTTGAAAACAAGCAGAAGTTTTTCAAAACAAAAACAAAAAAATAAATTATGAAGTCTATGTGGCAAGAATAAAGACAGGAAGCAAAAACTTTCAGCATTACATCCATTACCTCAAAATAAAATAAAAATGAGACGAAAAGAAAGGGGCAAAGAGAGATTGAGAGAGTATTAGAAAATGAGAGAAATGCAAGTGAGAAAAAGCTGTGAAGAACCATCCAACTCTGCTTCAGGCAACACATGTAGCATAGAGCCAAAGCTTCCTCAATTGTTCCACTCATAACAGCTAAATAAGCTGCTAAACTCAAACTATACATAGCTTTGCATACCCCTGGCAAATTACTTCTGTTTCTATAAAAGACAACCACATGACAAAGTCTTAAAAAGGTAGTTACCATACTACTTTCCTACTTTTAGAGGAAACTGCATTATAAGTGTGGGGCTGGGGAGCTCAAGACTCCAAATATCACAGACAGGGAAAAAGCAAAAGAATGCTGGAAATGGTGTGGAGTTAAAGATCTCTCCAAAACTGTAAAATCACTTTAAATTTAAATAAAAGGGAATTAGGTTGGAAAAGGAGACGATAGTGATCAGAGCAGGATGGTTAGGCCATAAATAAAGTCAGAGTAGATGTGAATGGAAATCTACAGAGATTAGACAGACGGGAAGACAGAGGACAGCAAGACAAGACTTAGTTCAGACATTTATTCAGAATTTTTCATTACATTGTGCACCAACTCGCTTGGAATATGCATAGAGGGAGGGAAATACATTTTGTATTCAAACTGAAAAATTGCCAATGGTCAGTAAGACAGAGGGAGAGAGAGAGATAAAGGTCTCAAATGTCATGAAACAAGAAGGCAAGGATCAGAAACACACAAGAATAGAAGCAAGAATACACACAACTGTAAAGACCATCAAGTTGCCACCAATTTAGCTTGTCTAAACACATAGTAAATAAACAATAGTAATGAGTTTTAGAATAATTTAGATCATCTCTCTATATATATATCTATACATCCAACAAAATAATTTAAATTAGTGATCAGTAGCCAAGATCACTAAAGCAAAAGATATGGATATATTTATCCACTACTAGACTAATATATATTCTATAACATGGTTTGTGTCAAAGATTTGGCCAAACAGAATCATCCTTAAATCATGAAAAAACTTTTGATTTCAATTATCATTACACCATCTCTATAATACTGTATATTAAAGCACAACCACACCAATTGGTCTATTGTAGCCACCCAGCTGCGAAGGCTACAAAACGCTCCCTTCACAAAGAGAACACCGATTGGCAAAAATGGTCCTATGCTTTGAAACAATTTCATAAAAAAGAATGCTATAAGCTGCTAAGCTACCTGTTAATAGCCATTTCAATACTTCATAGGCCTAAATATCCTAATGGTCCACTGCTGATATACAAGAGAATGTAGGGAAACAGTAACAAGAAAAATACCTTCACTTGCTTCTTGTATTAATTAGAACCAATAACTTAGACTTAAAAATCTGATTGCACAGACATACTCCACAGTTGATTTTAATGACACTGTCGTGAAAGTACAAAAACAGTAGGTAACTATGCAAAGAAAGGCAGATCATTGAATATGTACAATTGTGGAATACTCAGGCAAGACAAACAAAAAGAAAGGGGGAAAGAAAAGTGGGGTGACATTGAGTTGTAGGTAATTAAATAAACTTTGACTGCCTTCTAACTAAACAATAATAGAACAAAATATGCACACACAAAAATAAGAAACATAATTTCAAAGGAAATATACCTTAAACATCCTACATTCTCTTATACAGTGCTTTAGGTCAACTTTATGATGGTGAATAAACAATTGTTTTTTTTTATTACTGATGCATTAACACAGATACAAAACAATTTTTTAAAATATTAAACTTCAAAGAAACAAGGTGATAATCTCAACGAAAAAAGTTGGCCTCAAGCGCTGTTCTTCCACTACTCTAATAAATTAAAATACCCTCCAGTTCCAAAGCAACAATGAATTGCCCACCACTCTATAACACACCAAATAACACCAATACAATTTCGGCACGAAGGCTTGAGGATATGTCAATACCATAAAAGTAACAAAAATTTAGAAAACCTTAATTGTAGAGTACCATATATAGGTGTTACTAGATAAATTTAATACTTTTCTGAGAAAAGTACAAAGCCAATAAAAAAATAACTAAATTGCCAAGAAAAAATGCAGCTATACATATTCTGAAATGTTTGTTATTTTTATACATTCAGTACTGATAAAGCAGAAACCATGTCCTAGTGAGCAGAAACAGTTAACAGTTCCAAGCATCACTGGTTTATTTTTTACTGAGCATAAACTAAACTACCCAGTAGAAAAATTGGGACTTACATAGATACCTGAGGTTTGAAATGTGAAAATAACATTTAAGGAAAAAGAAAATACATGGCATTCAATCCGGTTACTCCATGCATATGAAGCACTCCCAGGAGACGCATATATGAAAATAATTTCTAGTTGGACAACAGGAACTAGGGTAACTTCCCTGCATATTTGTCCAGCTAATTCACACCACACAAATGCATTTAAGCACTGAAGTTTTGTACTGAAGACAGCTGGATCACCAACTGGAAGGAATACTAGTTGGATACAGCTACAAGACAAAAGGTCATCCATTTTCATTGGCCCCTTCTCTACATCGGTTCCTCGTCTTTTGTGTGCGAGATAAACACATTGGAAACGAAAAAGGGGAAGAAATAAAGAAAAAAGAGCCATTAACAGGATTGAGTCTTTCAGTCACAGCCGCTTTGATCCACATTAAGGTGCACCATCAAGAACATATGTCTTTACAGCTTATCAAATACTTCTGTAAACTGCATAGGATTAAAACTGGGTTTGTGGCCACAGTAAGTTTAACAGCTAAATCATTGGCAATCTTGGAATGAGAATGGGGCAAATAAAAACTGACAACAGTTAATAGCTGATAGAGGTGCAGGAATTCCTATCTGCATAAAATGAGTAACTGGAATATAACATGGTCTGCATTCAGTTACTAATGTGATTTGCTATGACATTAGACCATATGGAGATCGCAATCTATTGAACACACCAAATTTTAGAAGATGGGGAAACTATTCCCACATAAGGTACTTTGTTTGCCAATTGCTAAATATTTATAATACAAGAAGATTGAGTAAACAGTTTCAATTCCATAAAGATAACACCACACAGTAGTTAACAGAATTAAAACTATGTTGCTTAACTCATATCAAGAACTAATTTTAAAGTAATAATGACCTGATGATTCAGGGACAGGGCCACGCAAGCTATAACAAATCTTAAAGGAACTAAGGATATGTTTAATGTTCAAAAATTCAAATATCACTGCATGTACTACTGTGCCCAATATGTGCTGAAATGATTGCACTGCAGAAGCAGCAGAGTCTATCAAGATCAGTCGGGGTTGTGCCCATAGTGTTGCCTGAATACCTTTCATGTAAGTGAGCACATAACATTTTCAAAATGATTAAGGTAAAAAAAGGATTCACGCCAACTGTTTCATGGACCAAATGGTCTTTAGGGTACTTTGGCTTGTAGATACCTTACACAGTATGATGTAGGAAATCAATGCCACAAAGAGTGGCGTACTGTAATTCACATAAATCCTTGTAATACAAAGCAGAATAATGGCTTTGGTTATCCTCCATTAGATTCACACAGCAAGGTGAGGAGTCAGTCATAATTTATATAGGATTGTTTAATCAACACTCTACTAGGCAGTAATTTTAAACACAAAGGAATTCGCCTCAATTCAAAAAGAATAGTTTGACCCTGTCCCAATAAAGCACTTTAAATGCGAGATTTTGAGAAAGATACCCTTATATTGTTACCATCAAGCATAAAGTCATGCATTTTAATAAGCGCATCTACAGCATCCTCCACAGTCGGAAGCTGAATAAGGGCCATTTTGTGGTCTTTAGGGAAGAACTTGAAAGCCTTTACTTCAAAACCATGTTTAACAAATTCTTCTTTAAGGTTTTCTTCTGTTGCACTAGATGGAATATTTGATAGATGCAAAACCTGAGTAGGTGGATGACAATTTTGATAATTCTTTGACAGCGACTGCTTGAAACGGTGTCTAGGAGATCCAGCAAAATCTTTAGTAAGCTCAGCATCGGGTTGACCCTCTCTTGGTAACTGAACTGCTTGGTATTTGCTGGGCATTACATGAATTTGTTTTCCAAATACCCGAATCTTGTCAAGGTGAGTTAAAGCATTCTGAGCCTGGCTGGGATCTGCCATCTGAACCAAGGCACAGTCTTTCTTGCTATACAGAATTTTCACACGTGAGACATGGCCATAAACTCCAAACAAGGTAAATAAGTGGTCCGGAGTGACAGTGTGCTCATCTAGACTTGTCACAAGTAGCACAGGAGTAGCAGCAGCATTGTTACTTGGAAGAGTAAAGCCGCCAAGCAAGGGCAAGCCTGCACCTACTCCACCTAGAGCATTGCCATTTGCACCATTCAGCTGACCTCCCAGGCCAACAAATGGAGCACCCAAGAGCCCAGCAGCTCCTGATAAATTGCTCTGGCTCATCGAATTCATACCGTCCACACCTTCTCCAGCAGGAAGCGATGGGTTGGTAAAGTCTCTGCTTTTCTCATTATTAAACTTGACGTTCAAACTGCTCATTTTGGAAAAATCAATGCGGAGTGTACAGCAGTTGTGATAGATGTTTTGGCCATCTAAACTTACTTTGGCTGCTTGTGCTTCACGATCAGAAGAGAACTGAATCAATGCTTGGAATGTGCCATTCTTGGTGAAAGTAACTATCTTCAATACTTTTCCACAGCGAGAAAATATCTGGTGCAGCACATCCAGCGTTACAGGGCAGATCATATTGTCGATAATCACACGCAGCACCGTGTTCACCCCACCACCATTATCTGTCACATCCGTCTTCAGGCCATTCCCTGCAATTTCCTGCGTCTGCATCCCTTGATTCAAGAGGGCATTGGAGGTGGTTTCTGTCTTGAGCTCCCGGTGGTTGGAGAACTGGGTGTAGACTGACCTCCCCCTGATCTGAGGCTGGGTCTGGGAGTACTTCTGGACCAGATTGGAGGCTGCAGCTTCGTCAGACATCTCCAAAAACGCCTGGTTCTTGCTCCGCAGCACCAGCACATTGGTAACGCGGCCGAACGGTACACCCAGCAGCACCACTTCGGCGTCAGTAGTGTCGTTGGGAATGTTGCCTACGTGAATGACGCGCGAGGGCTTGCCCTCCAGCTTCATCTTTTTCGAATCGCTGTCCGTGGAATTGGGCCCCGAGCCGTTGCTGGCGTTGTTGCGGAACTCTTCGGGGCCTCGCTTAATGCCGACCATCGTATCTCCATTCATATTTCGGTCGGGCGACGAGCCGGTGAAGAGATCAGTCTCCTCTCCTCTGACACTTGTTACTTGCGGGCGCTGCCGCCCCGCGGCTTGCACAGGCTATTGTGCCCTGAACGAGTGACGCGTGTACTCTCCGGAGCCGATCCCGTCACTTTTCCACACGACACGAGATCTCTTTCACAAAACACCGCACAATGATATGACCACGAAACCGAAACGCGCCTTACAAAAGACGCACAAGTGTCCAAACCGACGGAGATGCTATATTTTTCGTCTGCCAGCTATTTTTAATCGATAATGTTAGGCCTCCATCGCTTGCTTGCTTGGATCCGTATCGTTCCGTTCGTTCCTTGCAGTTCCAAACAACGGCTGTGAATGCGCGGACCTCATGGGGCCAGGGTGTCAAGACTTAGACCATTAACGGGCAAACTGAAAGTACACTTCATTGAGACCGAAATTTGCACAATTTGAAGTGGATATAGAATTCAGTAGAAGTGACAACACTATAATCTACCAGAATGTCTACAGGAGTGCTTTTTACGGAAAAATAAATCTAGAAATGTCGATAAAACAGTGTGTGTTGCCAACTGCTTTGCACTGTTTTTCGACATTACAACTTCCAAACACTTCCTCTTTAAACTGATTTACAACATATCTCCCGCAAAGTTAAATGATTTAAGTAGAATATCATCACATTCGTTTGATTATTGACGCCTTAAAAGCTTCTATAGTCAAGTATAATCAGAATTTGTCACCCCCACCACACTCACCTTCATGAACATCAGCCATCATTTGTGAACGTGCCAGACAAGGAGCAGTTCAAGAAGAAATAAGCCTACACACTCAAGCACGGAGATCTCGACGTTTACTTGTTATTATTTGTTTATTTAGCAACCGCATTTATTTCATCATAGTCTAGTGTGATAAAGAAGCTTAGTTTTACCCTGTGAAATGTCGACGCCAGCAAGAAGACGTTTAATGCGAGATTTTAAGAGGTGAGGATGGGAAAGTTCTCAAGGTTGTGGGGAGTCCTAGCCCAGGATCTGTGTCAACTTATCAATTTCAAAAGAAAAATATTTTCGGAATTTTATTTTTTATTTTTGGAGATTTCAGCTTCTTTTTCATGTTTTTATCGAGAGTTGTAGGATATCCCTCAATGTGGCTTGAGGTGAAATCAAGCGCGGTAAGGTTTGTCAGTTTGAACAAAGACCTTCAGTCAACCAAACAAAAAGGTTAAGGTTCTGAGATGTCGATTCCTCTCTTCATTCTACTTTAACCCGTTGTATTTTCCTTACTACATGCAACTATTTTCAAAGAGTTTTCTTTTCTTCCAAATTTTCCTCGGGTTTGTTTGGTTGTTCAGTAATTCCCATCAAGCAGTATGGCAGAGGTTTTCTGCATGACTCATCCTGTGAGCAGTGTTAGCTGCCACCCCCTTGACTTGTGGTCTCTAGATGTTTCTCTCATCAGATGTTTTATTGTTTAGTACTTGTGAGAGGTAAACCTGTCATTTGCCTGTAACCTATTTTACTTATAGTTTTGGTGGATCTGTTAGCCATCAAATTCCTTCTTTACTGCCACTCAGTTTCCTATCAATGCCTACCAACTTAATTATCATTATTTGCTGCTGAATGATAAAATATTCCCTTCCTAGATGTCCATATTTTATCTTGTCTTTTCCTGTTTTCAGACTGCAAGAAGATCCTCCCACAGGTGTTAGTGGTGCACCAACTGACAATAACATCATGATTTGGAATGCTGTGATATTTGGGTATTTATCTTTTTGCACTGATTATTTTTCTCACCATTCATTTATTTATTTTATTCATTACTTGACATTCACTATTTTCAGGCCCCATGATACCCCCTTTGAAGATGGTACCTTCAAATTGACCATAGAATTCACTGAAGAGTATCCCAACAAACCTCCCACTGTGAGATTTGTATCAAAAATGTTCCATCCTAATGTGTATGCAGATGGTAGCATCTGTCTTGATATACTTCAGAATCGGTGGAGTCCCACTTATGATGTGTCAGCCATCCTTACATCTATACAGGTAAGCTTCCTCCATCCCTTCTTACGGTTGCTCTTTTCTAATCTGGTGTTCTAAGGTTGCATGTGAAATTTTAAAAGATCTATTTTTAATTTACAAGGGTTAACTTGGCAAATTTCGAAAGGTCCACACAGGGCAAAGCCCTCAGACAATTTATTTGTTAATAAAATAAAATAAGTAAATAAATAAATAACTATAGTGTGAATTAACTTGTGTTAAATTTGTGCATGCCATCACTAAATTAAAACCTTCTTGGAAAGATTAGGAGTAAACCCCTTTATTGCACCCATTGCATGTGTTGTCCAGGAAAGCAAAGTCAGGGGTTCTTTCTTCCCTGCTGGCTGAGTGTGTACCTCCATCCCCAATCCCCATCCCTTCCCCCTTCCCCAATAATTCAATGTCATTGATATTGCATGCTTGACAGCGTTTTATATTTATGAGCCAACATCACACAATGTAGTCCATTAAAAAATATATTAATGAAAGGGAATCTACATCAGAAACCTTACTTCAGCTCTCTTGGATTCATAGAATACATTCAGTTTTGAAACAATAAAATATGTACACTCTTCTCTTTGGATTAGCCAAAAATTTATACATTTGACAATTAAAGAATGTGATTTTGAATGGAGATACTTGTCTTGTACTTGCTGCTGATGCTGAAGTAACCATGCTTACCTATTTACAAAGCATTTTTGTGAGTTACTGATATACTGATTGATTTAGGTTAGAGCAAATTTGCCCTTAGTGGTAACTCTAATATCATTGTATTTTGTTTTCCTTGCAGTCTCTCTTAAGTGATCCAAATCCGAATTCTCCTGCAAACTCTATGGCGGCTCAACTGTACAAAGAGAATCGAAGAGAGTATGAAAAGAGAGTGAAAGCCTGTGTGGAGCAAAGTTTTGTAGACTAGTGACCACCCCTTCAAATTTGGCTAAATGGATTGAAGATTTTGCTTAAATGCATAGTTTATTAGTGATTTTCCTTCTTCTGTGTTACCAAAAACTAAGACAAAAATATAATTTAAAAAAAAGTGAGTGTCAAGAGCTACTGAATCGAATCGCGTGAATTTGCTGGGAGCAATTTTGGAACATCAATATTTTTGTCAAGTGGAAGTGAACTTCTTTATAGTAGAGTATTTTACTGAGCTCACAAGAAAGAAGTTGAAAAATGTGTGGAGAGGTTGTGCCAATGAAAAAAACAATCCTCCATCATCATTACATGGCTGGAGTTAACTGAATTGAACCTTTGAAGTCAGAGTTCTAGAAGATAGCAGGTATCTGTGATAGCTCCAAGTGTAACAGCCCTACTAGCCAATGATCCGTTTGCTTACTTAAATTATTGCTGTGTGTTTCCATTGCTGCTCCCTTCCACTGTTCACTTTAAAATGCTCTTACTTAGCCCAGCTCCCATAGACTAATCGTACTAAAATTGCCAATGCAAGTTATAATGAAAAATTTCCTGTAAGTTTGTCTGTATATGAAAGTTTTGACTAATTGGAATCTATGTTCAATGCTCTGTATCATATAATGATAAGAGTTATAGCACATGTAAATTTAATGCAATGACGTTGATATCTGTTCTTAACAGTATTGTGTCATTGACTCACTCTGGATCAGACCTTAATTCCTTCCTAATTATTTTGAAAGGAGTTCTGTTCCATGTGTGAGTTCTTGTTCTTTCTCAATGTCTCTTGCCATGGGCATTTTACTAAACCCAACCACAACTTGCTTGGCACCAAAGAAAATTTTCTTTAGTCTGGTTATAGTGCCTTTCTCAATGGATCAGTCTGAGCTGGCTTTTGTTGAAGAGAACAGTGTATCCTGTGCTAGCAAGTCTGCAAAGAAGGTCTTTCTTTTTTATTATTATTATTTTCTCTGAAGTGATTTCCTTTTGGGAACGAGAGCCTGATAATTTTCAATTTTATGTGCATCATAGACTAAAGATATTAAGGAGGTGTGGAGGCGGCCTCAATACTTGAGAAATGTCTCGTGATAAATGTAATTATATATAGGTCTTAGCATCTCTGATGTGATAAAGAGAGCTTTCAGTTCTTTGCCAGTTAAAAACAGAACCAACCATGTAAAAAAGAAAATCAAACCACCATGGTGTATGAAAGAAGACAGCTTGAAGGCAAGCTTGACTTTCTAAATGCTTGCCTTCAAATGTCTGTCCCTAATTTTAACTTCAAGATAAATATTCATACCCAAGTACACCAGCTTATTATGGTTTATTTTTTCTATACTATCAGTGTAATCTGACTAGTTTCCTAACAAGTGTTTTTGTTTTCTTAAATATTTTGATTCTGAGAATTTGCCTTGAAAGGTTTTCATTGACAATTAAATGCGTTGTATAGAAATGAAGTTGTGCACCGGTATGAAGTTTTTATTAAACTATTAAGTTGTGAAATGTATGTATATTTCTAGTGTATGAATAAATTCATTAAGAACTAAGCTTTTAGACACTTTATTCTTCTCCTATCTCATTTTAAGATCTAGTTTTTCATTAGTAAAACACAGTCGATTCACAAACCGTGGTTAATGTGTGATGTTGGCTCTCTTGTTTTCTTATATAAGTTGTTTGTTAGCTGGGCTGGCTTATTGATAAAAGACTTGTCAATTTGTTACAAACAACATTATTTTTTTTAACATGTGTTTTTCTGTTTCCTTTTCCAAAAATATGTTGCAGTCACTACTAGATGAACCAAATCCCAATTCTCCTGCCAATTCATTAGCAGCCCAACTATACCAGGAAAACAAACGGGAATATGAGAAGAGAGTTGCTACTGTTGTGGAACAGTCCTGGTTAAGTGAAGGCAGACCAGAGAGTCGTGATGACAATTAGGTGCTAATACTTCATCTACTCACAATTTTTGTACGTTGTTTTGAGATAATTAATTTTTGTTACTAAGAAAATTTTAATAATTCCATTTTGTTTTATGGCAAGAGGTGTATTTTTTGTTTTGTACTTATAATTATTTTTTTTTGGTATCGGAAAACCTGAAATATACCAAGCAATCAAACAACTTTGTGTAATTATCTTTATTAAAATTTTAGGCGAGGTCTAGGATGTGCCTGAAACGATAACATCCTCCCCTAGGGCAACCATGCACATTCGAATTTTGTCTTGACACAGAGTGTAGTCCTTGAATGGAGGAACAAGAGTATCCTCCAGTAGGCTAAGAATCTTGAGGAATCGGTCCAAGGCATCAGTCAAGTTTCCCTCTGAAAGGAGAGACTGTGCTATTTTCAGCATACTGTCTGTATCCTAGAAGGATGATAAAAAGAAAGAAAGGGATCACATATTTCATTTGAAAAGAGAACATCAGTAGGTTTAAACACCTGCTTCCGGGCCCCCGTTCGTTACCTGAAGAGCCTTGAGCCCTTTGAGAATGTTGGTGTGCTGCTTACAGGCGCTGCACTGGACCATGAAGTTGGTAGTGTCGGTGGGGACGATGATGACGTTGCTGCAGCGCGCGGTGGAGGCGCCGCCCGGGTCACAGCGGAACCTCATGACGCCCGTGTCGTTCTCCATGTCCCTCAGGAGCGGCCAGTCCTCCTCGCACGCCTGGCAGCAGCACCTGCAGCACAGCACAGGTGAGTCAGGACCCGCGCCAGGGCGTCTGTGTCCTTTAGCAAAGGAGCAGGATACTGACCGGAACCAATACTGCCTCTGCAGCGCGTCCAGCCGCTCCTGCCGCGGCCGGTTGGAGTAGCAGAAGCCGTAGTTCTCGCAGACGGGCTGGCCGGCGCGCAGGCCGCGCGCGGCGTGCACCACCACCGTGGTGCCGTTGAAGTACCGGACGACGCCCGGGTCGCACGAGTGGTTGAAGAGCGCGAGCGTCGGGTAGAGCGCGGCGCCCACGAAGTTGGACGTGGCCGAGTCGTAGCCGCGCGGTGGCGGCACCTTGAGCTCCAGCTCGGACACCTCGTGCACGTTGAACTGCAGCAGCTGCAGCAGCGTGAGCAGGCGCCCGCCCGTGCGCAGCACCTCGTCGCCCTCGCCGGCGTGCCCGGCGGCCTGCAGGCAGCGCGCCAGGAACACGGCCATGTGCGCGCGGTGCAGCAGGTCCTCGGTCTGCCGGCGCGCCGTGTGCGTGACGAGGGACATGACGGAGGCCGGCGGCGCGGCCTGCGGGCCAAGGACGGACCTGTCATTCTGTTCGTGCTCGACCGCCACAGCCCCACCGCCAGAAATGGCGATATCGTTTCGATATCGCTTATCGATTTGTGTCGCTTTTCGTGTCGCTAGCGACACGAGACTGGGCACAACAAAAACGACATGCGATAACGATATCGGTGTGACATCGCCCAAAATTTCGGTGTCGCTCCATTTCTGGCGGTACCAGGGGCAGTGCCCCTCTTACCCCCTTGGGGAGCTGCGCGATGGCGCGCAGGGCCATGAGGCACGTGATGGAGGCCCCCGAAGCCCAGAGCAGCGGCAGCACGCTGCACTCGACGGCGTGGTGGGTGCGCTCGGCCTGCGTCCTGCATGCCGCGGAGCAGAACAGCACGGCAGAGCAGCGGGGGCACGCCACCGGGGCGCGGAGCCTGGGGAGGCATCATCATCATCATCGTCATCGACTTCGAACAGCGCCAATGCGACTAGGTCCGCCAGAACAGTACCTCCTGAAGCACTCGAAGCAGTGCGTGAGGGCGCGCTCCTGCAGCAGGACGGCCACGGCGGGCCGCTCTGTGAGCAGCAGGTCGCCGGCCTTGACGTCGTCGTCGGTGGTCACGTGGCGGCCGACCTCCTCGTCCAGGGCCTCGTGGAAGCGCAGCGCGGCCGAGACGAGCCCCCTGCCGTGCGCGCGCTGCCGGGGGTGCGGGCCGCGCAGGAGGCGCCCGGGAGCCGGCGGCGCCTTGGGCTGCCCGATCTGCGCAGGGCTCAGGGGCTCGTCCCGGATGTCCTTGAACTTGGTGAACATGCTGACCATGATCTGCACGTCCATCTGCCACTTGCGTCGCCGCTCAAGCGTCAGAGGGGAGTCGTCCAGCGCGGAGATCGTGCGCTGGAAGGTGTCTTTGGCGGACAGGTGCTGCTTGAGCGCCAGTAGACAGCGCGCTTGTCTGTGGCGAGAGCGAAGATTACATCCAGCACGTCCATGTTTCTGCCTTTACTCCCACTCAGCCTCCCCACTTTCATTGTCACTGCGTCGAGGACGCCGTCGCCATCGCTCAGCCAAACGCTTACCTGTCGTACACTTTGTAGAGCAAGTGCTTGGGGTAGCCCAGCTCCAGGGCCTGCTCGATGTCCTGTAGCGCCAGGTGGTACTGGCCGCGGTGGTAGAGCGCTGCCGACCTGTTGGCGTGCACCACGGACAGGTCACCGGAGTCCACTGCGCGGTCCACCAGAGGGTACCAGTGAAGGCCAGCATTGTGTACCACTTGTTGAGGGTGAAGAAGATGGGAACTAGACTCGCGGGTCCTTACCTGGCATGTGTAGGATGCTCTTGGTGTACAGGCGCACGGCCGTGGCGTAGTCCTCCTTCTGGAAGGCCTTGTTGCCGTCATCTTTGAACTGCTTGGCCTGCTCCAGGTCCTTGCCCAGCTCCGTGAAGCTGCACGGCGTCTACCCAAGTCACGAAAAATATTTACTACTGTGGCACTATGTTCACTTCTAAGACGGAAGTTTTCCGCGAAATACGTTTCGGTGAGGTAAGTATCATCCAGAAAGTTCGCCCGTTATTCACTCATATGAACTTGCCAAGTTCAGGCTGAGTAAGAAGGCGCTCCGCGTTCCATAGCGCCTTCTAGTTAGGCAACATCTTGCCCGCAGCGCATGTGTGTACTGCGGGTTGGCCTACCCGGAGTCTCGCAGGCGCCGAGCTCCCCGCAACTAGAATCCCGAGAATAACGAGCGTACTTTCTGGATGATCCCATCAGTCGGGGTGCACCTTACCTCGTGCGCCAGCCGCTGGTCCCACAGCCACTGGAAGCGCTGCTCGTCCGAGCCGAGGGCTGCGAACTCGTCCACCTGCTGTGCAGAGAGCGCCTCGCTCAGCCGACGGTGAGCGGCGCGGAAGAAACCGCGCTCAGAGTCTACGGCGACGGGCATCTCGCGGCCGGGGGTCGGTCGTCGTCGGCGTCCTGGAGAGAGCTTGATTGGACGAAGAGGATGCTGTGGACGAGGTTGGCCGGTGCCATGTGCGCAGCCAGTGTATGACGGCGCCGGGGCGTGCACTGGGGCTCTACGGCGTGCGCCGGCTCGCCGGGGGCGGCGCGGGGGGCGGGGGCGGCTATTTATAAGGCGGGCAGCTCGCGCCAGCAGGGGGCGGGGAGAAGGGGGGCGGCGATACCCCGTGTGTTCCCGAGTCAAGCCCGTCGTACTAATTCTAAGACAATGCGAGAACCGGAAGGTAGTCCACCTGCCACGCCTGCCACGTAGGGAGGCCTCGCTACCTTCGCAGGGGGGCTGTCAAAACAAGATATGGTTTGGCCGACCGACCGACCGACCGTCAACCTCGGAACGACCAGGACGACTGAAATATCGTGTTCGGGGGTTTTCTCGCACGCTGAGTCCAAATCTGGTAGTGCCGATGTCTTCCGGGCCCCCGGGTACGTCATTGGGGACCTCCCGAGCACGCCGATGACACTCCCACGACAAATACGATTCGGCTCCAAACGTCGTGTACCCCGGCTGGTGCATATTTCTTAAAAGTCGCCAAATATAATTATTATTAATAGCTAATCGCCCATAATAGTTTATTATCCTGATCATTTCATTATTGTCACATGGGACTTCCCTGGCGTTGCCGCCTGGAGCCACACAACGATGCACGGGACGGGAAGCATCCCCAAAGGATCACATCCTGGATAAGCGAGGCGGGATTGCCTACCCCAGGAAAGAATCAAACCCCGCGACCACGATATGTCGGTGAGTGTGCCGTAATTATTGCTCTCCCCCTTTGCCGTGCCGCGTCCCCTACCCCTCTCCTCCTTCCCACCGTGCATTTCCCGCGCCTTTATGGAAACGTAAACAAACAGTGAAAATCGGTGTTACTATCGGCGTTCGAATTGGGAACTCAAATTACGGATGTAATTATGCACAGAAATAGTATTCTAACATATCTGATATTCGATATCGTTTCGATATCGGTCTGATATTTCATTTCTCACTGGGGCGAAGCCGCGGCAATTTAAACTGAGGGAGAGGCACATCTGCTTTTAGACGTTCTCATGGAGATATCTGGGGGAAAAGGTTAAAACTTTGCATATGATAGGCTGTTCTTAGTTCTTAGTCTAAGGCATCATTTTTCAATGGACTATTAATGATGAAGATTCAAGAATAATTCAAAAACTGATCAAAATTGCTTTTTTGTTGTGTCGTCTGCTTCCACTCAGAGTGGAAGTCGATGCCTCGATCCTGGAGTTCGCTCAGCGCAGCGGCGGGTGACGGACGTGTGCGGGACAGACCCCCCCTTCCCCATCCCCTCGCTTCGACCAAGATGAGC